AAAATGAAAATGAAAAAAAAAAAGAAAAGAAAGAGATAAGCAAAAAAAGCAAAACTCTTTCGTAAACACAAGATCATATGACAGTGCAACCAATCAATTGCATGCCACCAGACCTTAGCTGCATATAAATAGCAAATAAGCAAAAGTATTTCTCGTTTAGTTCACTTTTCTCTTTCGATTATTATGCACATATAGTTTAGAAATTGAAAGTAAAGGCTTTGAGGTGTGTGTCGCCGCCGTGCGAGTTAATTTTTTTGCGTAGGTTTCTTTTTATAAAATGTATTTGATGCTCGCTCGTGATGGCTTTTGCTTTGGCACCTACCTACCTACCTGCCTATCTACCTTTAATATACCTTAAGGTTTATTTTTAACCAGAACACTTTCAACTAGAAAATAATGAGAAATTTATAGAGCAGTGAATGGTAAAAAAAAAAAAAACCTATAAAAAGTTAAAGAAAAGACTTTTGGATAACGCACATATATTTTCATTAAAGTAGTAGTAGAGGTGGGGGTCTGACTAAACGCGAGAATAGAAAAAAAAAACAGAGAAAAGAACAAATATTGTATATGTTAGAATTTATTAAACATCAGGAAATGGAAAGTGTGGAAATTAAATTTTTATAAATGTATTTTTTTGCCAGTATTGTCATATTGTCTGTCTATGCATCTGGTTTATTTAAAAGCATATTCTGATTTAAGTAACTACAATGCGCTTTATTAACCTCGACCTTAAGTGTAATTCACTTTTCGTTTTTAGTTGCACAACGACCACGTCTTCGTCGTTGTCGTGGCGAAACGAAAAGTCAACCGCACAACTGTGCGGTTCTATGCTGTGCTGTGCTGTACTGTGCTGTGCTATGCTATGCTATGCTGAGCTATGCTGTGCTGTGCCATGCTATTTGACCATGGATGTCGGGACGTGGCTTCGCTACCTACTTGTGGCACCAAATAAACACAATATGCTGCTCTGATATGCCTTCACTTGCATGCATGCACTTTGCATAACTTTAGCTCCAATTCAGCGCAATATCAACAGCAGAGCACATATTGGTCTTCTTTTCTTCTTCTTCTTCGGTCGTATGTTTTTTTATGTTTAGGCGAGCATATGTGCTCGGTTATATTTGTTTGTGTGTGTGTGTGTATGTATGTATGTATGTATATATGTATATTTGTCTATTTTAGTTGTGCTTTTTTTCAGCATGAGGAAAAAGAAGTAAGTTTTAAAATCAATTGGTTTCTTGTGTGGTTGGTTGACTTGTGCTTGACTTGTTGGCTTGGCCGTACGTTCTTTCGTTCGTTTGGTCGGTCGGTTGGTTGGTATCTTTTAGTTGTTTGCACAGCTGGAAACTTTTAAGCGAATTAAAGGATCCCATCCGTATGTATAGTATGTATGCATAAGCGCATACCTACATATATAACGATCTCAATTATTTTTTAAAAGGTAATGAATATTTAAAATTATTGCTAAAGAGAAATGATTCTTCTTCTTGATATTGCAAAAAAATTATTTTTTTTTTTTTTTTTTTTTTCATTTTTTTGAAGAAAAATTCTAAAGAATCGTTTGGTTTTTCCATGACGATTTCTATAAATGTGTTTAGTTTGGCTTTTTGCGCGTTACTTCACAATATCATAATAATGAAAGAGATTCCATTTAAATGAAGTTAATTCTTTAAATACCTTCAGGTTAGAAAAAGTTAAGCAAATTGAGCGAGCATAGGTAGCTGCTGTGAAAAATTGAATTTTGATTTGATACAAATGCCAACATACTTCGGATATATCTAGAAAATTATTTTGATCTCTTGTGAAGTCGTCCAACAACAGCTCGTAATGTATTTTCTTAACGCGACAGCGGTAGTCATAATTTGAAAAAAAAAAAAAACGTTTCTGATCAACTTCTTACTATCAAGCGCTGTTCGATAACGGCGTGTATTAAAAAGTTTTGTTTGATAATGAGTTTAACCACTATAAGCCACGTATCATTTAATTTACTTGACTCTAAAAGTAGATAAATCAAAGGAGGACTGAATTTGCCAAAGTTTACAATGATAGGTTTTGCTTATTTCTTTCCTAGAAAACTGGATTTTATATGTTTTGCTTTAATGTGCGAAAAGCGGGTTATCATCAAATTCATGAAACGTGCTTTCCATCTCATGATTAAATAATTTTCGCCCTTGATTGCATAACGCTAACAATGGAGCTCGTTGACACTGTTCGATACAGAAAACAAATGCATTAAAACTGGAGAACATTTCCCTAATTACAGGCGTTTCAGCTGATTGATAAGAAAATCCTCCACAATGACTATTGACGACCTTGGGAGATAGTTCTGTCAAGTTTTGGATCAATCTCTACCGTGTATCAGAACTTGGGAGGCATTAGTGATATTCCCTGTACGTGTGAGCGCGTTGGGGGTCTGGAAGAATTATACGTATTAGGAGAGAGAGTGAGAGAGAGAGAGAGAAAAAGGGAGTAATATTTGTAGCTGAAAGTGGAAGCATATGAATCAGTGAGAACATCGATTACTGGTGGATTATTTGAAAGGGCTGCAGTGCAATTAAATAACAATGACTAGCGCTAGTGTCACGTGCGTTAGACGGGCTCGCTTTACTTTATCTATATGATTTGAAGCAAGGCTTTACTGATTTAGAAATCATAATAAAAAGTGCTTGCGATATATAAAAATAGCGATGCAAGTCAAGAAAACCATCAACTATAGCCGCCTACGAAAGGAATTAGTATTGAATGAAGAATATTGTATGCTGTCATGGTTAACATCTCGGTGCAGTTGAGCAAAACATTGAAAGCAAGCCGACCCCAATCAATTATGGTAAAGCGAATTTTCTTAATAGTTTCACATCTGATTTCCCACATAGTGAATGTCGGCAGCAATGAAAAGGTGATGTTCCATTACCGCCGCTCTTTTCATTAATCATTCCATTTTCTGATTAACTCCTGTTTTCAGCTTTAGCTTATTATCTGTCCTAGCAGCGCTTCATTTCTTAGAAAAATAACCGCAAAATATTACTTTTACGGACAGACTAGACTAGAACGGTCACTTTGTAAAACATAAGAAAACCGTATAGCTAGTGTTGGACAAAGAATTGCATAAAATAATTTTGGTCTTTCTCTTGTAATAAAAGTCGCTTTCGTAAAAAGAAGAAGACTGGAAGGAATTCATATCTGCATCCGACAAAATACAAGAAGCTAAGCAGCTCGTGGATAACCAGAATAAAAATTTCAATTGAAACGCTACATGATTTTTTTCCTTCCATTTTATGTAAACACATTTGTACATATTCATCATCATTGGCGTGGATATGTCCTTCCGTTTTAAATATTTAGAAGAAAGTTTCACTGGCCGCATAAATTACATATAAACTTGATCAGCTAAGAGTCTGAGTTCGGTCCGTCTGTTTGTCATAAAGCGCGCAGACTCCACAATTAAGATAAAGAAATGAAATTTAGTTAACTATAATTTAACAACAAATTAAATTTTAAAAAGACTTTTCTAAACGCCTTATAAGGCATATCTATAAGATATAAATTCGACGTAAAGGAATTTGATGAACTTTGATCTGCTACAATTGCGTACAAATGTTCCTTAGGTCACGGTATATAAAGTTCGCATCAAGTCATTGACTTACAATTAAAAAGACCTTTCGTGTTTTCTGTGTGTAGAGCTGACATGGCATGTATCAAAGATTGTTTCCAAGACGAGAATTATAGCTTTTTTTTTTTCAAACTGAAATATGGAACAAATTTAATTTTTGCTTTTTTTTCCCCCCATTATATACACAGAAGCGATTATTACGAGCGATCTTATATAAATAATATATCATTGTATAGTCACTCCCTCAACTTGACTTATATCCGTTAATATTACTAAGTCAAATAAATCTCATTAAAACTATAAAAACTCCCCTTACAAGGTTAGGCATTTGAAAACATTCATCTTAACTTAAACTTACATATATATACTGAGAGCATATACATAATTGGAGTGGTGTTCATGGCCATGTTTACACTTGTAATCTCAGGAGAATATCAAGTTAAACGAGTTGCTTCTTTTCTTTGCCTTTTTTTTCCTCCTCTTCTTCTTTTTCTTCTTCTTCTTCTTCTTCTTTTGCACATGTCTTTGTTTTTGCCTTTTTTAATTACCTAATATTGTTTGTTCAGTGGCAATTATTTTTTCATTTGACGATGCATATGTATACCATTTCTTCTAGAGTTAGTATCAAGCATTAAGGTTTAGATGTCCATGTTTAATATTCCCTTTAGTGTTGGTTTCTTGTCAAACAAATTAATTAAGCTCATTAGGTATGAAATGATAAAAGGGCATAAATGGACATCTTATGCTACTATTTTTATAATAATAAAAAAAAAAAAAATAAAATAAAAGCAAGAAGAAGAAAATCAGACGACTTATGTAGAGGAAGAAAAATAAGTCCTAGAAAGAATTTTAATAAGGTGTTTAAAGTAGAGAAAATGTTTTTAAAAAAATTTTACTCAGCACAGTTGTTGTTGAAA